GGAACAAGCCAAAAAGCTACTCGAGTTCCAATTTTGTGATGAATAATTTGTTCATCTCCTGCTTTGCCCAGTAAAAAGCCGAGGCAAGGACTCGCCCGCAGACGCTGCAGGCTGGACCTGGGAGGGGCAGGGGCGCCCTCGGGTGGATTCCAGGGGAAATGTTTATTTTCCGACATCTCGAGTCCCCTGCAGCTCAGTTACCTTCCAAATGCGTCTTTTCAGCAGAAATCCCGCAGCTTTGGCTTCCAAGAGAGGTTATTCTACTTAGCGACATTAAGATTGTATTCAGATTTTGCACAAATAGATGGTGAGGAGCGGGAAAGTTTTGTTTTGAGTCAGGATAACACTTGCTGGTTCCCAGAGACAGTTACTTCACTTAGATTTTCATAGTTTCAGGCAGTGGACTTAATATATTTGTACTGGGAGTCTTTGTGCAGACTTTACATGCTACTGATGTTTACTGATATATTGGGAATTCTTTTTCTTGACAGGCAACTGAGATGTTGGTTCATAATGCCCAGAATCTCATGCAGTCTGTGAAGGAAACTGTGAGAGAAGCTGAAGCAGCATCCATTAAGATAAGAACAGATGCTGGATTCACTCTTCGCTGGGTCAGAAAGACCCCATGGTATCAGTAAATACTTGCCACGTTAGTATTGCTTTCTGTAACAAAAAAATGCCTTTTTTTTGGAAACAGAAGAGATATATTAACAGCAAAAGGTGCTGTATACATGAACTTAAGATTAGCTTATGCTAATGCCCCATTCTAAGGGTATGAATTATAATGCATTTCAAATGTCTTTGGAACACATTTGATATCCAACACCTCTAATTTTCTGCCAACAGTAGACAGTTCTTATAATTTAAATTTTTTTCTTTTTTTTTTTTTTTGCTTTTCAAGATTCTTTTAGTGAATTCTGTACTCTCAGAAACACATTTCATTTATGCACTGTATATTCCAGTAGTTTCCATGTGATGATATAAAACATGGACCTCACTTTAAGCTTGTCTTGAGAATTTAGGACACTTGGTTACTTGGCAGTTTTTTTAGGGACAATCATTGATACACAAACATTCAACTTCTCAACAGGATTTTATCTGGCTATACTAAAACCATGCAGAAATGATGGAAGGTGCAGGGTTTTTGATTAAAAGAGGGAAGGTGGGGCAGCAGAACAGTTGTAAACTGAGGATTATAATTCCATGTCTGAAATGTGGTGGTTTTTTTTGCTTTTGATTCTTGCCTGCAACAGTACTTTAACAGAAACTGGAGCTGTCTCTGTCTCCCTCCTGTCACCCTGTAGTCAGGCATTCCAGAACTCTCGTACTGTACTGAAAGGTTTTGCAGATGATGATAGTGTGACACTGTTGACAGCTTGAGCCTTATGGCTGGAGACCTTAAATCATGGAACCGCTTTCCTTGCTCAATTCAGCAATGTACTGAGCTGAAAAATCCTCATTCTCTTAACTTGGCTGCGTGTCCACGACCAGAAAATGCCACATGCTGGCTTTTTCTTTTTGAAAACCAAATGAGCACATGCAATTATTCTTATTTCCCTCTTCCCTCCATCTAATGTTATTCCAGCCACTCAAGGTGAAAAGATAAAGATACTCAGTTGAAAAATACCTTTAGCCTCACTGCTCTTCTTTTCAACAATGCATAAGCTTTTTGAAACCTGAGCTCTGCAGGGATGTGAAACCCTCTTTAGGTAAGCTGGCGGCTACCAGCAAATGGTGGTTCCTAATGCTACACATACCTCATTATTTTTACTGCTTGTGGAGTTTAGAGTCTCAAAATCTTTTTCTCAAGTGAATTGAATAAAGTGTTACTGTGTCTTTAAAAAAAGTCCTAAACAAAATGACAACAGTAAAACCCCCAACTCCCTCCCCTTACTAAAATACACTTGTGATATTTTATCCTTCCGTAATTGAATATGCCTTCTTATAACATTCATTTAATTGCCCTATAGAAAGGAAAACTTGTTTGAGAATGAGTTTCTACATTTGCAAGGAATACTTGCAGACTTTTGCCCAAATCAGCACTGACCTCATAATACCCTCTTAATTTGCTGAGAATTGTTGCACGATCAAACCACCTTGAACAGAAGTGTCCTTGGGGAAAAACTTCAGTCTTAACAGCTTGAAGAGAGACAGCACAGTCAGCTGTCCTCTACCTGCCTGCAACAGTTATTCTTTGCTTGGACCTTTCCCCTCCACCCCTTCATTGCACTGTTATCTAAAAAGGGAAGTCAAACTGTTGATAATACAACTGTCTCAAACTGACCTCAGCAAGAGAAGGCGTGTGTTTGTCTTGAATTTGCTCCTTGTGTCTGGGTATTATTAAATATTTGGTACTTAGGATCTTTCCTTAGTACTCTCTTCTTGCAGTTACCTGCAACAGGAAGAGGAAGGAAGGGGTGCCAGAGCCTTAACCTAGATGCATTTGGTGGGTTTCTATCAGATCTTTAACATAATTTTAATGTAGTAATTTCTATTTAATAGTACATAACACTGAATATGTAGGGATTATTTTAAAGGGATTTTCTAAATAGTCTTCCTGTACTGCTTTTCAATGCTCCTCACATCCCCTCATCCTGCTTCCCCCATCCAGGCTTCTCTATGAGATTTTTAAAAATTATTATTATTTTAGCATCACTGTTTAGTTGCTTGAATGATATTAATGCAATATTACTAATGCCTTTAATTGTTTATGCCAAAGATCACTTTTTGTTTATTGAGGAATGTTTGCAGGAGAGTAATGAATCATGGTTGCCTTTGATATTATTCTAGAATGTTCGCTCTAAGTTCTCGAACTGTTTATAGAAGCCGAGATACTTGTCCATCTTATGCAATTACTGCATTTTTGAACACTATTGGTCTTCAGACCTCAAGTGCAGCAAAAATTTGAACAAGACCATGAATGTCACTTAGAAATGTTTTACCACTATAAAACTTTGTTTATAAACCAAAATGTATTGTATAGTCTAATGTTTTCAACCTTTCTTTGGTTCTGTTAAAACAATAAAAATGCATTTGTACAAATATCAGCTTCTGTGTGTTAATGATAACAGCGGTGGATGATGCTGCAACGAGAAGAGCAGCAAAAAGCTAAAGCAAAAGAACAGTTGTTTCTACATGTTCTGAACAGAAAGCAAATGCAAAATTTCTTCAACAGTAGAAGATTAAACAGGGTTTTTTTTGTCTTTTGTGCCTGTTAAACTAGTAATTAAAAAAACTTACTGGAAGCTGTGTTCAGTTAGGAAGGGAAGAATTGCTACTCTGACCAGCATCTTGTAAATGTGAATTTTACTTCTCAAATTAAATGCAAGGGTGATTAATGTGACAGTACTGCTTTATTTCCTTCACTCTGTCCACTGTAAGAATGTCTTCTAAACATTTTTCCTTGCTAAAAATTTCTATCAGCACACAATGTTCTGACTTGGTGGAACCAATGTCCACTGGTACTGTAGGACCAAACATAGCCTCAGAGTGCCAAAGGGCATCTGGTATTTAGTAGTAATTGGTAAAATTCAGAGTTTTGTATTGTTCACATAGTTCTCTCCATATCTGAAAGATGAGACCCTGACAGACAGCCACCTTTGTCAGCACACCCAGAGCTGGACATGAGAAGGGGAGATCAGAACTTAGCAGTGTAATTCCTTGCTAAGGATATCCTCTGATTCCATAATATCTACTCTTCAGAGAGGTGCTGGTACTTTTTTATTTTCTAAACAGAACAGGAACACAGGCCCCCTTCTGCAGTTGAGCTTTCTGTGTTTGGAGACACAGAAGGAACCAGCATATGTACAAGAAAAGGTATTGGCCTCACACACCTGCGACCACTTCCTTGACAAAACACAGCTCCATGCCCAGACTGGTTTCCTACTGGGGCGTGCAGTTCTTGCTGACAGTGAGTTGTGATGAGCTGGGCTTTCCCCTGCGCTTTTGTGTGAGCCTCCCTGGTACCCGAGGTCCTGGAGCGGGTGGGGCTTGTTCAGTCACAGGCAGGAGGCAGCGCTGGGGTCAGGACTGAAGCTGACACTTCTTTATGTGCTAGCTCAGGAAGGGTGTCAGCTCTGAAAGGCTGCTAATGCAGAGAGCAGCTCCAGCTGCTCAGACATCAGCCTGGGATGTTACCAGTTTCCTCTGAAGACAAGATTTCTTCTACGCTTACAGTAACTGAAGGATGCCATTTGCCAAAACACAGAGTGGAAGTAGGAATGAGTGTTGAACTGATGGATGAATTGAAAAAGGCAGACTAGAAAGTCGGTAGCTTTTAATTACCAGGGTTGTGTCTACACAAATGGAAGATCTTATTAGATGCTGGTTCTTCATAATGCTGTTTTATCTACTGTAATTCTAGAAATCCAAAATGGTTGTTTATGGCCAAGTTTACCCTAATGATATTATTACCAAAGTTACAAACAGAGATTGTATGCTTATTTCTTTCCTTACTGATTTGCTCCCAGGGTTCAGATGGATTTCCCCTCTTCTTTGCAGACTGGATCACTTTTTGTGATCATGTGAAATTTTGACTACTGAGTGACTTTGGTTCCTGCTCTCCATCTGAAGCAAAGCTAGAACCTACTCATCAATTTGTAAACCAAACAGAAACAGAGGGTCTCTGGTATCCCACTCTTAATTAATACTGACCAAATGCATGGTACGGAACCTGATAGCTACTCTGGAGTATGTAGTGGTTTAGAGAGATGTTTCTGTTGGTATATAACAAGAAGTTCAGTCAGCTTTGCTCTGACTGTTGAGTCTTTGAAATATCATAAGTAAATAGTTGTCCTCCATTCAAAAATAAGAACTATGAAAGGGACATTACCTGTCATGCTCCTAACAGCCCTTTAAAACTCTAAGCAGCTGCACAGTGATCAAATTCAGTAAAGATGTAGCAAACAGTCAATGTTTAATAGTCTATCAGATGCCTCCTGCTTAAGAGCATCATGAATTGTTTACAAAAGCATGAACATTTCATAAGGTGAGACATATCTGCAGTAGAGTTCCCTTTATTTCAGAACATTAAAGCACACAATCATTAAATACACTTAACACTTCTATTGTGCTATCTAAAAAGCTACGCTCGAAGGTACACACTGCACAGATCTGGTGGCATCCAATTCTAACAAGTGGAACATCTAAATCAAAGCAAAGGCTTCACATAAAAAATAGATCTTACTCTCTGCAACTGTATTCTTAAAAAAAATGGTGGGGATGATGAGATTGAATGGAAAGAAAGTGGATTACTGAAGCAACAATCACCTCCCAGATTTAATGCAGGATGTTATTTTTATCAGCTCATCTGCAGATGGCAGAAATGAAAGCTGATTAAGGCAAATGCTTCTTAAGAAAGGCGATTTCTTGTAAACAACATAGAAATTATTTTTTTACTTCATCAGAAGCTTTTTCAGGAGTGACACTTGCAATGTCCCAGGCCCTGGGGGGACCCCTGCCCCTCTCACTGCTGCTCTCTACTTCTGAAAGGATTATGTGCTGCTTTGTGGAATGCCAGCTTGCAGCTGGCTGTGGGTAGAACTGAGCTTTCTCTGCAGGCAGCTGCAGCAGCAAAGCATGCCACCAGCAGACTTCTCCAGTGGCCTGTCTGGCCTTCAGAATGTGCTTGACCTCAGGGCTTTGGTATCTGCCTGGCAGTGTAGTGTTTGCAACATTTTGTGGATTGCCCATATCAAACTATTCAACAGCACAACAATTCAGTAAAAAAAGAGTGTAAGTGTAATAGAAAAAAAGTACCTTATTTTAAAGCATATTAAGAAAAACTAAGCTATGCTTTCTTAATAAGAGCTGCTGTGCACAAATGCTTTGATCCCAAACTAATCAGTGTCTATTAATTAATTGGCACCTAACCAACATAAGTCACTAAGCAGTCAAGTTTTTTTAAGGGGAATTTCCTCTTAGCATCTTCTCATGTCCTGACTTGGAATTTTCCTGCTTTTGTAATATATTTGACACCTTTAAAAGGCTTGTATTTTTCTCCATACATGTCTAGACGATTCACTTTCAGTCCTGAAAAAAGACAGAGACAAGTACAAAGTTAAAAGCAGAACACTAGGAATCACAGCAGTCTGATTAGAAATCCAGCTGTCTTGAAGCACATTAGGATTGGTTAGGAAGCTCATTCTCCTTTCTTTCACAAGTTCATCTGGTTTGAAGCAGCATATGAGAACATTCTTGTCACCTAATCATAGCTGTCTTGGCAGGGCAACATGTTTCTCTTCTACTCCATAAGCCAATAACCTCTTTCCAAGAGATGAACTATGGAAGAACTGAGTCTATCTTCCACAGCTCCTGTACTCCTGTACACTGTATTCTTTCCAATCATGAAGATGAAGCAAAGGACAAGTTTCAGAATTCTTTTCAGTCCAAGTCATAATTGCAAGAACCAGCAATCCCTCTACTATTCCTTGAGGAAGGCCAGTAGCTATTAATTACCTACATCTTCAGGTTGTTCTGTGCTTTCTCACAGGTCCTTTATCTTTGGTGTCCAGCCATTGGACCAGCTCTATCTTGCTAGATTTAAACTAATTCAAGAGGAAACTGCAGGATTCTCTTCTTAAACAGGAATACAGTTATTTACTCCAAAAAGTCTATGGGCCAAAAGGACCGTAGCCTGGTACCTTTCCAGAAAGGTACCACATGTACTACCACCAACTCTCATCAACTGCCTTCAGTCATCCTCCTCCACCTCCTCTCTGAATGTGAGTTCTTGAACTGTTAGAGCCTTGATCCTGCAAAGCTTGCCTGGAGAAGCATTTTACACAGGGACAACTCACTTGATTTAAGTGTTTGAAGACTGAGGCCTTGTCTGCTTTAAATTGACTCTTGCACTTACCCTATAGACTTCATTCTGCTTTCACTTGCAGATTGTTTCAAAGGTGGAAAACTAACCACCTCCAGAAGGAAAGAATAAGAAGAGCATTCTTCAAAATTAACGCATTTTTATGACCACTAGAAAGAGCTTTAGTGGTACAAGGCTAAAGCAAGTTGGGAGCAGCACACTAAATCATCATTCATCAATCTTCACTAAAGGATACGTTTGCATGTTTAACGCACCAGTCAACAAAGAAAAATTCAATTATTCTGTATACTTCTCACAGTCTTTCTTGAGCAAAACAATTGGGAATTCACAATTCCCAGCACAGAAATCTTCCAGCAAGGGTAACTGTCAGGTTTGGGTAAATCAGACTTATCATTTTGGACCAAGCTGACTTCAGATGTTCATCTCCAATTAAATGATTAACAGTTTCCCACTTCATTTCCACACCAACTCATTCTGCCAGCATCAATTTCATGTAATACCACCCCCCCCCACACTCACCTGAAATTGCAAGCTGTTGTATCTTAAACTGGATATTTAAACTTGGGTTCTCCTCTGGCTTGGGGGCTCCAGACTGCAGGTTCACTATGCCCTTCAGATTTGGTAGCTTTTGAGGGGTAATTTTGCCCACATCCCATGTTAGCACCTTGTCAGGAAGGAGAGAATAGGTAGCAGTAGCATTCTAGGAAACAACCCATGAGGTCAAGTTCATGTCCAGCTTTTAGTTTGAGGCTGGGTACAGACCTGGGTACAGCCTGGGAGCCCTGAGCATTACCTCACTGGCTGGGAAGAGGGCTCCTGCAGGTATGGGGTCTTTTTTTCACCCTGTCATTGTGGGTCTGTGCACTGAGAAAATTGTCTTACCTTTGCTAAGGATAACTGACCCTGATGTCTGTTGGGGTCAGCTGGATCCATGAAGCCAAGACAGTAACGAGCACAAAGACCACAGAAACTTAAACACAAGAATGAGGAGGGTAGGAGCAAGGTACTGGACCAAAGATGTCTAAGCCAGACTAACATTCTCAAGGCTCACATGTTTGCCATTGATTCTTACATTCATTGGAAAAATGTGGAACCAAGCAGGCCCTTTACTCACCCACAAGAAGTGATTTGTTTGCTCTTATCATAAACTCATAAATGCAGAAAAACCTCAATTCTCTATGCTTTAAAAAATTTTGCAGTTTCAATCCACCTAGTTATCCCAACTATTGATAAAAACACAGTAAAATTTATTTCTGCAGAGAGAAAAGTTTAAGGTTTTTTTGTTGGTGCTTTTCTTTTAAAAAGATCAAGGTCTATTGCTTTTGAAACAACATGCTACTTGGAGAACTTTCCCTAACAATTTTAATGAATTGCTACTGAGATATTCCAAGGGCAGCAGAAAGCTCAGAGCAGGGTATTAGAGCCAGAAGAATGGTTTGGCTCAAACTGCTTTTCAGCAAAATGGCTCCTTAGTACTAAAAGGCTTCAGGAGCTTTATGAAATTCAGGTCTCAAACCCCAACTCAAGGGCAAGGAATCAGGAGCCCAAGACATGTTTTTTCAGACACTTTATTTTCCTGTGTGTCTTTAGGTAGATCTTTCAGAAGAAATTTTTTTCATCTCCTGCTCCCAGTTTTTCTGTCTACCCATTTTAAAGGCTAGTGCATTTTCTTCAGAAAAATATGTTTTTACATATTTTGCATATATTGCAAAATATATCATGGCTAAAACTATCAGCAAAATACTGCTGCATCCACTAAGGAAAGATATTAGTGGGTGAAAGAGCAGGGTGAAAAGAGAGGATGGGAAGGAAAGGGATACTGACAAAGTCAGAAATCAGAGCTGGAGTGTAAGTCTGAAAAAGCAAATTTTAAAGGTAAATTTTTAATTCATAAATGTATGCTGAACAGAGTTTTCTGCCAAGTGTGGAACATTGTTCCAGTATTCTGCAGCATGGGTGACTTGTAGTACTGCCATCTTCAATATTTAAATAAATAAAAATTAAAGACTTACTTTAGTAACTGGGTCAAATGTATAGCTGCCTTGTGTAGCAGTGAGGTTCATGTTAAGTACAGCCTTTGGCATGTGAACTGTCATGACAACTCCTTCTACTGTTTTTCCCATATTCTGTTTTGGTCCAATGGTAACATCAAATCTTCCTGAAGAAGTATTTTCCTTAAAGCTGATCATGTGCTTCACATATACAGGAATTGCCACCAAGCTGAAAAGAGAAGACAGTAGCTGAATGCATCCTGGCTATTTCTCTGCTTGAGAAATTAAAGCACTTTCTCATAAATACCTCTTGCATTTCTGGTAGGTGTTCAAGTGAGAAGTGGTTTGTTTCAGAAGTGATAAATTAAGTGATGCTTTGCTCTTCAGCATCATTGCTGAAATGATTCTATCAGCAGAGAATCACAGGAAAAAATAATTTCTTTATTTTCTTCCAAATACCTTGTCCTATTCTCTCTTCATCTGCGCTGTTCTGTTTTTTTTAAGTAATCTCACTGATTCAAATCTCAGAAGAGTCACCAGTCAGATTAGGCATTAGTTTACAAATATCTGCAGTTTGGACTTTTTTTGCTTTACCCTCTTCATGAAGCTCAGAGTCCTCCATGTACACAGAGACTTACCCATAAAACATCTAACACCAACAACAGTTACTAGAACTGAACAGCCCTGTATCTCTGTCATGTGTGATTTACTCCACTGAAAAATTATTGCTGAGTATCCGCAGGTCACTGAAAAATGGTTCTTTTCTTTTAGTGGGGACAGAGCAACAGATGAGACAAAACCTGAGCACACACATTTCAGAACAATGCAAATTCCCCCCTTAACAAGGAGGAATGTGCCGTTACTCAGGTGGAAAGCAGCAGGTAGTGTAGCTGGAGAAGGAGCGTGTCTGAATGGAAACGTACTTCTGGGAACTGACGCGGTAGGAGATCAGTCTGAAATTCCCATCGGGAGGAATAAATGAAAGGACTCTCTCAGACTCCCAGCGTTTGAACCGAATACACGGGTGGAAGCTGACATCATCCAGCAGCCGTGGGTTCTGGAAGGAGTGGCAAAATGGTGAAATCTCATCAAGTACTAGCAGGTTGAGCTAGCTACTGAACTCTGCCCAATTCCCATTTCTGAGACTCTGAGTAGCCATTATCAGAGATGTGTTACTGAGCTAGATGGATTTCTGATCTGACCCAGTACAGAAGTTCCTGTGAGGGTATTTTTATGTAGACAAAAGCAATTCCAACTACTAAATGCAACTACAATGCAGCTTCTACAATGTAATGCAAAACTTGTTACTTTTCATATGTGTAACATATGAAAGACTTATCCTAAAGCTGTTCAACTCTGATCACTAAGAAAAATAAATCCTGAGCAATTAAGATTCCCAAATACAGGCTGAATTTACCATGAAAGACAGAGAAAGATCTGGCATTCCTGAGAGCTTTATACACGAATCAATAACACCTTGGATTTCTGCAAAGACTGTGGAACCTGCAGGAAAAAACAAGACACTTGACTTAACGTTATTAAAGGCCTAACAGATGTGGTGAAGTGCAGCTAGAGGGCACAGATGACATTTGCACAACACTCAACAACATGCCAAGCACAGCTAGGAAAGGTCATTCCAGTTACCTGTGTCCTGGGCAGCTTGCTAAAGTACATGAGCCAGAGCAAACAGCCTGTCCCAAATTGGTTAATTATACTTGTGCCAGCTGTTACACAGGACTTGTACTGGATGTGCTTCAACTGGTTGCCAGCAATAAGCAAATAAGAATTTCCTAACACACCAGCTCTGAATCTTTTCCTTCATCCCTGTCCCCAGTTTCCAGAAAACTAACAAGTTGTGTAGTGGTGCAGGGAAGTTGAAGCACATCAAAACCGTCAATGTTAAAATGCAGTAAGTTGGTGCTATAAAGCTCCAGCTAATCTTGGCTTTCACATGTAAAGGTTGTTTAACAGTGAAATGAAATATTCATCTTCATCTTAAATAAATCTATAGCAAAAAGCCCCAAACCTCAAAGCAAGAGTACTAAGCATTTTACCCAGGAAATTAAATATCCTCTCAGAACAGAAAGGTATAAGCAGGACTCTGGACTAATTAGCTCCACATGCAAAGGTAATTTTAGAAGATAGGTAGGAACTGGCTTATCTAGGCAAGGGGAAGGAGAAATGGTGGCTTTATACTTTGAAAAGAAGAGATCTTGTTTCAGGTTAAAGCAGTCGACCATATCCCTATGAAACAAGGTAATTTCCCTATTCAAGGGGAGCAACCTTATCTACCTTAGTCCTAGTGAAGGCTATAAAGAAGGGTTCTTGCATTGCTAGTCCCCAAGGGATCAGAGCAGAAAAGAGTAGCTATGGCTACTGTAGCAGATCCTCAGTAGGAAATTAAACACTCAGTGAACACCGAGCATTCAATTCAGTCTATTTCACTGGCCTGAAATATACAGAAGTTGACCATGGTCTTGATTGTACCTTCTCAGACTAAGCCCTCACACTACTCCTGGGAATCCTAAGGAGCTGGGACAGTAACACAGTCATCAGCATGTTCTGTAAGGGCCCTATAAGGGCCACCTTCTTTTAGATTCAAGATAGGGAGAGTAAGAGCTGCACAACAGCTATTTATGACTATCCACTTCAACGGTGGCCAAAGCATTTGCTGAAGTGCTGTAAAGAACCAAACCAACACTGGCACTGCTAGAACAGTAGCACTGAATGAATAATCAGAAGTTTGCTCCCTGCCCCATACCACCACAAAAGGGTGTCCTGCAGTTTTCACCCTTGCTAACTGCTAGCCCCAATACTGAACAAAACAGCAGGTTCCTGCCCACAGCGTTGCAGTATTCTTTTTGCATATTTTTTTTCCTATTTCTTGGCATGAAAGTTATCAGGTTCCACCTCAAAGTAAATCTCAGAATAAAAACTTCTGTATTTGAAAATGATACGTTTCATTCATAGAAAAGAAAGGAGTATTATTATGCTTCATAATATCGGGCTCCAGCTTAAATATAAGGAAAACAATACTGTCCAACTATTTTGCACCAAGTTTATTTTGTTATCAGAGGAAACCTAATGAAGGATTTTGTCTTGCTCACTTGAGGGCCTTCAAGGACTACAGTACATTGTTGGCAGGAACAACGGGAGATAATTTTCTTATCACATTTCAACTACTTTTTTTTTTCCATTTATTACCTGTTATGAGATAATCAATAGACAAACAGAAAACATACTTCTTGTGGATGTTCTCAAAGCAGCCCAGAGCATATTGCTATTTTAAGATACACTGAAGAAATGCATTTAAGCTATAATTTTAAACTGAATATTTCTACCTAAGATATAAATGCATGTATACAAAACATATGCAAAAAAATAAGGTTGGACTGTATTCTCTCTAAAACATCATTAGCTACATGTAAACACACTCAAGAAACAAATATTAAAGGCATCTTACCCGATTTGTCTATAATCGCATCAATTTCTTCGATGACATCAAAATAGGCTTCATTGTTCGTGTATTTTACTCCCGCTCTGCGCCAAGGAATGTTGGATAACTGTCCAGTGGGAAGTGTATCTCCCACATTACTACTGCCTTAAAAATGAAAAGAAACTCAAAATCAGTAAGTAATTACAAAAGAAATGTTTCAACTGCCAGAATTAAAAATCAAGTCAAGGCTTGCACCCAAGAACTGCAGGCTATAGCCTAGACCCCTACAATTCGTAAGGTGACATGAAGGCACTGGAGCCATGTGTCCAGACTTAACAGCTTTCAGACTACATCTTCCACAGCAAAATAAAATGCTCAAGTCAGCAAGAGGCTTGAGTGGGAGTAGATGTGGGGCTAGATCTTGTGGAGGATTTCATCACTAATTCAAGACATGACAGTTCCCTGTGAGGGCCTTAAGCCTGCTTCCTCCTTCTCCTAAGAATTTTAGCTGGATGACTTCAGGGCTGATTAACAGGTAAGAGTCATTAGCAAGAAAGATGTGTAAGAAGCCTTAGGGAGGGCTCCTACAATCTTTGCTTGGAGCTGGTGCTGGGCTGAGGTTCTCACCCTCGATACCCATGAGCTACCCTGCATCAACATAACAGCCATGTCTGTTCATGACAATGTGCCAAATTGATCCAGACCCTGGCCCAGACTGGACTTTCTGGCTTGACCTGCCCCATTCTGATGGATGTTACTGGCAATCACTGAGCTGTACATGACCTGTTATCATCTGATTCTGTCCCTGACCCGTTGCCTCAATTTCTGGGCTCCCAACCAACAATGCCACTGTCCCTGCCTGCCTTGCTCCCAACCCTTGGCTCCTGGTTCTCAATACTATCCAGCATGAGAAGAAGGCTTCCTGAGCTATTTAGTTATAAAGTAAATTGATGATACTTTAAAAGGTAAAAAAAAAAATCTTATCTCTTCTGAGGCTTAGGTGACTGATGCCAGAATCCCAACAAGTAGAATAGAAACAACTCTCTCTGCTAGAAGTAGGTCTTGGGACAGGGCCACAGCTCATGCTGACTTGTGCTCTTTAGCACAATGAACACAGTAGTGTGTCTTGCCACATGGAACAGCTTCACTGAGAAGCTGGTGGCAGGTATCATTTCTACAAAACCTGCTTGGGCAGGCCCTAGCCTGGCAGGAAGAAAACAGAAAATTTCATTCTTTTGAGCAAGTAGAAGTAGCTACTCAAAAAAACCCCTTCCTGAAGTCCACCCCTGTATGTGCTGTAACTCAGTGGGGAGGAGTTACAACCATTTCCTCACTCCCACTGCATCTCTGAAGAGGAGCAGTTGCTGTGTCTGTCCCTCAGCAGCCTTGCAGGGTGCAGCAGTGCTGCCAGGCCAGGTAGATAAGAGACCTCTTAGGCTGCTATTTCCACACGCTCAGCTGTTGACAGTGACAAGACGCAGGCTGCCTTGGGCAGGCGCTTTAGGCTCCTAGGGAATTTTAATAAGGCTTTAGATAAAACAAGAGGATTTGATGCTGCAACCCTTGGCTTCAGGAGTCTTAATTCTCCTTACAGAGGTCCATCTAGTCCATTAATGTAATATTTTTCATAAGTGTAAATACTAGCATCCCAATCCACATTTAAAAAACCTAACTAAAATCTAAATAACAGAAATTAAAATTGATGAGATTTATACTCAAAGACTAAACTGTATCTACTACCTTAAAGACCAGCTCCTCTGAGTATTATGTGTGTGGCCCTGCAGCCCAACTACTCCCCTTCTCTAACACAATGTACAGGCGACCATCTCGCATCTCTCTGCCCCCGTGTGACACCTCATGGCTCACCTCCCTTGCACCCGCTTGCCAGACAAGCAGATTCCACCAGCTCAGCTGACAGACATTTGGCTTCATCACTGCAAGACAGACCCATTTACAACAGCCTGAAATCAGTTGCGAAATCAAATCCATATGAATCCATGTGCTGCTCGGTGGTGGGGGCAGGGTGGATGATGAGGACAGGCTATTTGCTCCCCTTCTTGCTATCTGTTCCCACCCGTCAAGGATTTATTAGGTATCTATTATATACCTTCCTATAAGGATTTCTTACAAAATGCTTAACCTTCTCCAGTGCCCCTCAGTTATTCAAGGCTTGGGGTGAGCTCTGTACCAATCCCAGAGCACCTGTCTCCAGTATGTCCTGACTGTGTTAGGAGCTGCTTTTCCTGAGGGACTTCAGCAGCTGTGGCTGAACCAGGCAGTGCCTCCAAGGACAGCAAAGGGGCCAGGCATAAACTGCAAATAAGGAGACAGTTGTTTTTATTTAACTCCTATTGATGAGAAGTGGCAGGACAGTGTGTAACCTTACAGGTTCACACCAGTATATATTTTTTTTAGCTACAAGGAATGATAGGGCTTTCTTTTTAAACAGTTGTCATTGCTGAAATTACATTTTTTCATACCTGTGATGGAGTTGACAACAGAGCGCAAAATTGTGGGAGGCTTAATCAGCTCCTTTAGTATGTTAGATTCTGTTGCCAGTGGAAAGCCATTGTCTAGCATTTCTTCTAGAAGTTCATACACAATTACTACATTGTCCTTAATTGCCGTCTCAGAACATTCGCCGAAGTAATCCTAAACAAATTCAGAGATTACAAAAGAGAGGATTTTTATTTCTGTTAGAATGCTTTGCAAAAGGAAGTTTGTTTGGTTTTTTCTTACAGAAACCCTCCAATATATGAAAGCATTTTAGTACCTAAACTGACTATTTCTATAGTCTGATGTCATCCTATTATTAATGTTATATTTATCATTGAACTGAAAATAAATACAAGCAGGAACAGGGAAATAATGTAATGTAATGTAGTACTATTTATGTTACCAAGGTCTTTCCATGTGTGAACATTAACACAACTTCAGTTACAAGACTCTTGTAACATAAAGATACTATCTTCTGGCAACGCTCAATCTTCACAGCATTTCCTTTATATACAGTATCTGTGAAATTGGCTGAGAAGTGACTTCTTTGCAGCCCTTTCCTCACTACAGAATGCATGCTGCCCGACTACATGCTCCTTCTTCCCATCTACATAACATGAACAGTACAAAAGCTTACAGAAAAAAAACTAGTATTTACAAAGTGGGATTTGGGTTCTGGTGCCTGTGAATGTACAAAATAAACCTCTTTTTCCTTTGTACTCTATAAACCTGTGCTTGACTTAAAAATCACAGACAGAGAAATCACTGACAGAATAGTTTATTACCTTTCTCTTAAAGAAGTTTATACAAAAAAAAAAAAACCTATGAAGTTGTTTTAGAATCATAGAATCACAGAATGTTAAGGGGTGATCCCAGCACCCCCCTGCCATGGGCATGACACCTCCCACTAGATCAGGTTGCTCAAAGCCCCATCCAACCTGGCCCTGACCACTGCCACAGTCAGGGCATCCATAGCCTCTCCAGGCAACCTGTTCCATTCATTATTTTACCACCCTCACAGTACAGACTTTTTTCCTAACATCTAGCTTAAATTTCCCCTCTTTCAGTTTGTACTCATTTCTCCTTGTCCAATCACTATAGCTCCTGACAAAGGATCTCTCTTTGGCTTCCCCATAGGTCCCCTTCAGACACTGAATTTTACAATCATTGAATGGTGACAGACCTGGAAAGTATCTGCTACTCGGTGCAGAAATTCAATTACGAAGAGGGGTGGCACTTCTGTCTGTATTACAGACACAAAGAAGATTTTATCCCGATAGATGCTGATGAGGTAGTGGTGTGGAGTTGAGATGACAGGAGGCACATTCTCAACATCAATTGCTTTCTCCTGAGCTTCAAAGAAATAATCGCACACAGATTGGCTCACAACGCTCTTCCAGTGCTTCTCCAAGAATATATCACCAGAACAGTTTATAAGAAACAGGCTGTGGATCATTTTCTGTTGGAAACACATTAAAAGAAGTTAAAATAAACAAAAGGATACATGGACTGACATTTCTTAACCCAGATTCCCTTTCTTATGACGGTTACTCTTTATTAACATGCACTGAGATTTTAAGAAAAAGATCTACTTTGTTGCTTTTCTCAGAATTCCATTTTCTTTATTTAGAAGAACATTCCACCAAAAAAATATTTGCCACTGGATTAAGTTGCTAACGTATATCACAATGCAAGCATGAAGAAAGCACCCTTGTTTTCAGCTTTCAACCTATCTGGTATTTGTAATTTATTTCTTAAAGAAAAGCTGACTCCCATGAGCTGGCACTCACTCAAACGTGTTTGCCGATGTGAAAGAGTTACTCGTACAGAAAGTTTCCTATGGCAGTGCAGTTGGCCTGGAAGTTGCTCACATACCTTAGAATTGCTCTGTCTTAAAGATATAGCTCTTTAGCTTGTCAGCTTTCAGCTGTTGAACTAGAAAAGTGCTTTTTACTTGCTGGCAGATTAGTCTTATAATCTATGCCAAGCTGGACTTGGGTAAAGGGTTGGAATTCATTAGAAGTACACAAAACTAGCCATTTAAATCTGACTTAATGAATAAAATTGCCTCAAATGTGTTTGTCATACATGAAATATGTTTACATAAAATGTTTTTCACTTAAAAACTCACTTACGTAAAAGGGGAGTATGAACTGCAGGTAAGGAATGTAACTTTTTTCTTATCTCTTTAAAGATTTACAAATAACATGCCTCAGCCACTGATCCTTCATTTTATTCATGGGGCAAGAAGCTTATGTGCCTATTAAAAAAAATAATTCCAAGTCTATTTCTCAACTTTCAGTGCAATAGTAAGTGAACTAAGTAGCTGATAAAATGAATAGACTATTATCTCTGCATCTACAGTGGACACAAATTCTAGCAGACTTCAGTTTATCTCTTCAGCCATTACATGAGACAGATACAATGCTTTGGCTGACCTGCAGCATAATGATCCTCTTATAAAATTTCCAGTTAGAACTTGGGCTTGGAGAGCAAACCAAACTGCAACCCCAACAGCGGCTTCTCAAGGTGAAGTTAACCTGCTACCCCATGTCAAGCATAAATTTATCAGTACCTGAAGAAGCTGCCCCTGGCACTGGATTCCATCCCTTTTGCCTCTCAGGTATTGATTTGAGTAATGTCTGTGGCTCTGCAATTATCTACATTAGGGAAATGGTCCAGCCAGAAACTGACCCAGCAAAAGGAGCTGCTGGTCAGATCAGCTTCCTAATGCAAGTTATTACACTGCCAGAGTGTGCTAGAACTGACATAGGGCATGTGATGGAAATGGGCATATGATTGCAATGGAGATCCAGGATTGAAAGTTAGCTTTTGGGGAATTCAAATGTGATTGCAAAGAGACAAGACAATTACTGGGTGTCCACACCTTGAAACAGGAAGGCCACCATCAACTTTGCATGTCCAAGAGAAGCCAAACGCACCTACCAAAAACCTGTCATAGGTTTCAATAATTTTACCATGTTTGGCCAGGATCTTGTCCTAAAATGCAGATAAAATTTGCTCCTTCTCTGTTAACTCTGGCATGCTAATGTAAAGATAGCATGGAAGCATCTAGATGCAGATGGCCCAGTCCTACAGAGATTTTAATGAGTCCAAACACTGTATGAGTAAATCTCATTCCAAAATACTGGAAAATAAGCACTTAGCTCCACCCAGAGTGAGCTTGTGTTGCTGTGTGCCAGTCTAAACTACCCAGAGTACTAGCTCATCTATCAATACACTTGTAACAATGAAAAATGATCTAGCCCTCCAGATTTTAACAAAACAAAAGTATGTCTTCCAAAGCTCATCAAAGACAGCGAAAAAGGACAGCTCAAGAAGGCTGTCAGCATGCTATTTCCCTCCACCTAAGTCAGCAGATGTGGGAAGAGAGCCAAGATCCAGCTTTCCAAATTCTAAACTCCAGCTGCTCCTTCACATGCATGACAGCAATGTGCTCATCTTCACTGAGGCCATGCCAGGTCTCAGATACCTCCTGCCAAGGGCATGCTGTCTTTGGTAGCCGACAAAAAAAGACCAATAGTTAAAAGGTGGACAAAAATATTAATCTAAGCCAATATGGAATGTAAAGGAAGTTCTTCTAGAAACTGTGATTGCAAATTTGCTTAAAAGTGGGAAAGGAAACAAAGGTACAAAGTGTTATTTCATGTTTCTACTATCTCTCTCCTGAACCAAGTTAATCTCGAATTTAGTTTGTTAAGAAAACCAGACAATTTTAATACTGTGAGCACAGCATTTTTATAAAGGAGCCTTGACACAATTGCTTTAATCCAGTTCAAGTAAACATGTTCTGAATTTAGCCAGCATTGAACATTAAAGCCTTCCAAAATCTCCTGGACAGTCACACAACAGTGGCAAGTATAATCAACCACTGAATGTCAGTATTGTTCGACACCATGGCTGCCCACACATATAAAGGTGCTCGGCTATAAAGCTTAGAATAGATCTCCATACATTTTTAAATCGATACAATAGCATATCTGTTAACAAATATCAGACCCATTTCCTATTAAATGCACACAAAGCTGCATCTGAGAATCCAGTACAAGCAGCACTGGTAGGGCTCCACTTCCAGAGGAGCTGATCCACAGCCCGCTCTGGAGGAGCTATGTTGGACAGCAGGCAGCTTCCAGTGATACTCTGACAAAGATTATCAGACGTGTAACAGTGTTTGTAAGCCACAGCAGTTGTTCTTCTGTTAACATTCATTCAGATTCTATTCATCTACAGATCAGAAATGGCTGCATTTGTCACAATATGCTTTTAACAAGTGCAGCTGTGCAGCAGACCACACAATCACAGCAAGCTCCTGGTGCACCAAATGACTGTAATAGCAGGGCCCTTTCTTTTGCCCTAAGTTCCACTAAGGATATTAAACCATGGCTTGATATGCAATCAAGGGAGGGTGTGGATAGCTGGAAACAGAGGAAGCACTTGGCCACTGCCCTTCTTTACTCATCTGCCCCAAGCTGCCTAGGTGCCAGCTGTGTCCATAGGCGTGTTTGTGTGGCCTCGTAGTGAACTGGAGTAGCAAACCAATCCAGGGGACTGCACTTGGCAGATGACAGCTTTGTAGTACCTATGGAAACTGAGCAGTAAAATCCCACCTGGCTGCCTACCCTATCTTCTAAGTAGGAAGATAGGGATTATGGAATTTCCCATGATACACATTCTGCTTCAGGCATAAGACTTCCCTTCAAATCCTCTCACATACTCCTTTCTTCCTTCACAAGTTTTAGTAGTATGCTAATTTGCTGCTAATTTGAAGCTCTCTGGAAAACTGAAGCTCTCTCCTTGCAGCCTAAGTGCAGAGCAGGCAGCCCCAGAGGCACAAACCCTACCCTGTCAGTCAAGGGGCAGCTCACTTAGTATGCTTCCCACTGCTGACTAGAGTAAAGATGCTCTTATAGAAGTGGGGACATCAATCTATTATACACAAAACTAAGTAATTTGATTTATCCCATACACTGTCAAGCAATTGGCACCAGCTGATTAAAGATGAATTTCATGTTGAATATCTTAGAACTGGTGACACTACAAAAATATCAATATAGGATATATAAACTATTATTTAACAAAAATTACTTACATTGTTCTAAATACTGAAGATATATTCCTGTTACTCTGTTTTTGAGTTCCAGATTTCATTTCAGACATGTAGAGATCCCTGAATTAATTTCTCAGTACCTGACTTTCTTGTCTCATCAGAACATAAGATGTGAAAAGCAAAAAAGATTGACAAATGCTGAACATAAGAAATCAATCCAATAACATTAAAATTCCTCACACCAGTAGGCCAACAGCTAAGTGTGTTAAGAGCTGCAGCACTTTGAAGGTAAAGGTCTTGAAACAAAGTTCCTAAGCTTTAACAAACAGTAGGAAAAGTACATCACCAGAATTCAGGAATCACAAGATTCCTCTCCATGAAGTACCAGCAGAGACCACTTTGAGATGTCAGCACAAAACCATTCTATGTAAGGTACTGAAGGTGTTTCTAGGACTATTCTAAAGGATGTGCCTTCCATTTCTTGGCTTTCAGGCTTACCTAAGAGCAGACTGAAGGTGTACGTGGGTCATTATTTGCATCTAGGCCAAAGCAAACTGTTCAAGCTTATTTTCAGTAGACTGACAGCCTTTCCTGTTACTGCCTGACTGCAAGGCACCTTACAGGCTCTGCAGCAACAAGCAGCCTTGCAGTTTTGCAGCTTCTTTGCAAGGACTTCCCATCCTTCCTCTGACATGCAAAATTCCACATTATTCTTCTCAGCCATTTCCATCCTATCAGACACTGAAGTCCATACAGAAGAAAAACATATTTTAACTAAGACGCCTTCAATGAGCTGTTACCATGTCTCTAACTTTTCTTTTGACTAAATCTGGATTTGCAATGTTACTGATTTTCAAATTCTTGGCACAGAAACATCTGGACTAAAGTCACAGCAGGCTCACAAGACAAAAGTGGAGCTCACTGGCAAGAGAGGCTGTGAACACGGGAAAAAAGACTGATTGCACATTCTTGTCCTTAGCTACAATTAAGTACTCTGAAATGTAATTAATACAGAAATACTGTCAACAGCTGCTTTTCTGTAACAGTGAGCTGAGTTCCATTCAAAGCTCTGAAACCATGAAGTGAGGACTTTATCACTGACCTCTGCAATGCCCTTTACAGCTAGTACTAATTACTGAAAATAGCCCCAAATAGGATCATCACTAGGAAAGTATTCCATAGCTTCAATGTACCCTGAATTTGGCATAGCTGCTCTGAGGGGTTGGAAGGATTAGTGGGGGGAGACTGTCTGAGTCTCTGCTGTGTAATTGTACAAATTGTAGAAATGAACTTCTAGTGAATGGAAAGTAATAAAATGCTTAATCTGAAGAAATAAGCGAAAATAGGCAGTTCTATTTCTATTGTAAAGCTAGTTGCCACAATCAGCTAGTCAGTACTTTAGCTTTTTCCTATAAATTCAAAATGTGCTACAAATGTATTCCTGACCTCCCCAACCCTGTTCACTAGCTTTCAGACAAGAAAACCTAATTAAGAGAAGTCCCATTAAACACCTGAACAACACTTTCAAGACAGCCAACATGGCAGCTCTTCAATACTGTATAATTGCCAGGACCAATCTGACACATTATTAGTAGCTGTGATTCAAGTTGATAAATCTGTAAGTCTCAAAGTATACTAAAACATGAATGTTCTGTAATTTCACAGTTTTTTAAATGCTCCTATTATTGTTTGTGTGTCTTAATGATGCTGCTCAAGTGTCATGACTCTTTTTATATATAAGATGCCCACAGCTTAGGTATCTGCACATCAAAGTAAAACCATTTTTGCAACCTTTTTTAAGAACTGCTTGTTGTCTCCCTCAGTTAGTCAAGGAAAATTTCATATCTACTCAACACCATTAAGTGCTTATGTCTGTGCAACTACTCAGACATATTTTATCAGCAAGATCATCCCTATAAAAGACTAAATGCTTTGCTTCCCAAATGTTCAGCATATATTTATTTATCTTTGCTCTCATTTAAAACACCCTTAGTAACTTTCTGAAGTTGTTTTTAAAAGGAAGTAGTCCTTTGAGAATATGAAGTTGTCTTAAATCAGTGTTTGGTATCCATAACAAAATTTGCAACTTCCTCTGTGCTTTTACTAGTAGCAATTACAGCCTGCATGAGAATTTGTGCAGCATCTCATCTACTGTTTGATGAGCTTTCCAATAATACACTTGCATGGTGCCTCTGTTGAATTTAGTTCCAGTATAAATCTCCTAACTGCTGGCAAGAGAGTTCATCTTTTGTCAACAGAACAATATTAGATTCTGAATAAGCAAACAATATTAGATCTTGAATAACTGCAGTTCCCTTTGGGACCTGCAAGAATAGAAAGCTTTCCTTTAAAAGCTGGAAAATCAAGAGTTTGTCAAGAAAAAACCTACACAAAAGTAATTAAAAATTCATTGCTAATACTACATTACATGGAAATGGGACATTTCAAACACAACTTACATCTGAATCAGTAGCTTTAGGACTACTAAGGGACGACTTAAGAAATTCACTCTCTGAAAGCAGTACTGAATAGACAGATAGGGCCAAATGGACACAGATAAAGTGAGTATCACATCACATATTTACTGCCCATAGAATTTTCAGGAAAACACTGATAATTGGGTTCATATTCCAGCCAAACCATGAGAAACGCTGAATGGACAAGGCAGCAGGATTCAATCATAGGATATTAAAGCCCCAACTCAGTAACTCTTTGAGAAGATGTTTTCCACCACACTCTCCCAATTCAGTTCTCCGGTAAGTCTGAAAGGCTGGAGCAACAGTGCTACCAGCTTTACACTACTCTCTTCCACAGGCTCTCTTTGAAGAGGTACTCAAGGTTCCAGAAAGGACAAGCAACGGTGCCAGAGAGCCATGCACTACTGAAACATTCCATCAACGTGCATGTCAGCCCTTCCTAATGTGTGTGCACTCTGGTCCAACCAGTCCATAGGGAGAGGGCACAAAGAAGGCACATAAATACTTGTACCTTCCTTCTCCTTCAAGAGGACAGAGCAAAGCAGCACTAATTCTTTTAACCTGTATGAATGAGTCTCATGAACACTCTTATTCTAAGAAGCTTCTGTTTAAAGACTGCCTTTCATACATTACATTAAATAAGCATAAACAAGACTTAACCTATCTTCTCTTATTATTTTAAGTTATATGTGAAGCTGTAAGTTGGGGAAAAATTAAAGGGATATAAGAGGAAGGAACTTAACATTTTAAACAAATTTTAATTTGGTTTCTTGCCATTGTTCAAGCCACGAAGTACAGCTACCATTTGTCTCCTACTGTCCAGATTTCTCTACCTCAAGGACTACAATTTCTCTTTTCTGAATCCCCATGACAAGGTTTTTATTAAAGATTCTTCATGTAAGGGGATCTTTATGTGAGAGAATAACTAGGACTTAGCTGGTGCATAGCTGTCTTGTACAACAGAAAATTTAATTTCTGAATAAAACCAGGAAAATCAAACGTGAGAGGGCATGGAGTATTCTTCAAGTCTGATTTCCCATTTGCAAAGAATTTTCAGATCTGTGCACAGAGGCAGTATAAAATCTATTTGTCCCTTCCCCCCCCCCCCCCCCCCCAAGTCTGCTTATGTTTTTGAGTTAGCTCACAACATTGGAGCAACCCAAAACAGTTTTTACAGAGAAATATCATTATTTCCTCTTCTTTTTTTTCTTTAATACATAAATAAGAAGTTATGCATGATTTAAACCTGCTGGCAACTGCCACAGCAGAATCATTCTCATGGTTGGCCTAGTCAGTTCCTTTGTAAAACATTGTTTCCATCATTTTACCTCTTGCAAGACTAATTGAACTTGGTTTTGCTTTTCTTCAAAATACCTTTTCCTCTCCCATACTGCAGTCTGCCTGCTATAAACACAAATTTTCATCATTCAAGTATGATTTTTTGCCTGGTTGGTTATAGCAAAGCTATATTGAATAGTGACGTTATTCCTCCAGTTTGATTAACACTTAATGGATATGAACCATTCATCATACTGAAAAGATAGTAAGTGCATCACTAATTCAAAGCAGATTTGAACTGAAACAAAAGAAAAGAAGCGACAACCTCTACTCGGTTACCGCTGGGTACTGAGCAGGGCAGGAGCGATGTGCAGTGCATACTGGTGGATGATAACGGGTTTATTCCCAGCACATATTATGCAGATCCGCACTCACAGGGCCCCTAGCAAGTACAGCACGAGCAGAAACACCATGGCTGCAGCAATGCTGTTAAAGATCGACCCAGGTGAGCCGGCGCCGCTCCCCACCCGCCCTGCCCCTCCCGGCCTGGCCTTGCTGCGGGCTCTGCCGCCAGCGGCAGCTCCCACATCGCCCCTCCGGCAGGCCCTGTGCTGTCTGCCCTGACGCGCACAGTAAATGCCCTCCCGGTGCACAATCCCCCTCATCCCTGCGCCTCATCTTGGAGCGTGTGCGGTGCAGATCCGCCGCTACGGGGCTCTGACCCGACCCTGCTCACTGTCCGCCGGGCGGTTCCGCATCTCCGCCAGAGCCAAGAACAACGGAACGGGAGGGGAAGGCGGGGGTTTATTCAATCACGGCAATGATTTTGTAATTAAATGGGCACCGAACAACGGAAACGGAGGCGGGTAAAACGGAAAGTCTCGGATTTGCCGGGCAGCCTCCCGGTATCGCCGCTGGCGGGGATGTAGCCCCTGCCCGACTCTGACCAACCAGCACGGCCGGGACCGAGCACGGGCGGCTCCCGCCTGGCAAGGATCCCGTCCTCCCGAGCAAGGGCAGCACCGCCCCACTCCCTCACGGCCCGGGCCCCCCGCGCCTCACGTACCTCCCCCGGCCCGGCCCGTCCCGCTCCCGGGGCAGCGGCCAAGATGGCGGCGAGGCCCGGCGGCGGCGCGGGGCCGCCCCCCGGCGGAGGCGCGGGCGGCCGGGACGCTGCCTGCGCCGAGCGGCCGAGCACGACCCCCTCCCTCCCGTCGTCCCCGCTGCCACGGCCGCCCCGCACCGCCGCTCGGCACCGCTCGGCCTCGGCGGCCGGCAGGAGCCGGGAGCGGCGCCCGGGCGCTAAACCCACCCGGGCCGGCGCCGCGGCAACGCGCGGCTGGGCAGGGACGGCGGGCGGCGCGGGCTCCGCTCCCCGCCCCGTCAGGCGCCCGGCGCGGCCGTACGTTCGTCCCGGCGCCCCCGCCCCCCGGTGGCGGTGCCGGCGCGGTCGGCGGGGCGGGCCGGGGCCGGCGGGCGGGCCGAGGGAAGCGGAGCGCGCTGCACGCCGCCCAGCGCGAAGATGGCAGCGGGGGAGCCGCAAGCCAAGAAGCTCAAGCTGGAGCAGAAGCAGCTGAGGTAACGGACGCCGGGACGAGCTCTGCTTCGCGAGCAACCCCTGAGGGTGCCGGAGGGTCGGTCGCTGGTGCTGCCCCCGGCGGAGGGAGAGGGGCGTGTCGCCTTCGCCGTGCGGTCCGACTCCGCCGGCAGGGTCCCGCCGCGCCGGGCTGTGTTCGGCCGGGCTGCGCGTAGGGGGTGCGGGCGGCCCCGCCGCGGCACCGGGCGCACGTGGAGGCGGCGGCGGGGCCGTCCCGCCGCGCTGCCCCGGCTCCTGCTGCGGTACCGCTGCCCGGGCCCGGCGGGTGCCCGGGGGCACCGCCGCACTGGGCTCCCCGCAGCCGGGGCAGGGGCGGGTGGGCGGCGCGGGGGCCGCGCTGTGCCATGGGGTCGGGTCGGACAGTGCGAACGAGCTGCTGAGCATCTGGACGGGGTGCGGTGAAACGGAACGCTGCCCGCAGCGATGGCCCCCGTACTAGAACACAGCTGGGGTTGTCATTCCGTCTGCCTCCCTTTTGAGAACAGCCTCTGAAAAATGTCACAGTTAATACTCGTGCGAGGGTCTCTGTCCCCGTTCGACAGGAAACTGAAAATCCGCGTTAACAGTTACGTTTGCTTGAAGACACGTGGTATATTTTAAAATATTTTCATATTGAAATAATCTGTGCGATTTGCTATACTTCCTCATTTCTGTGATCACAGTACAATAGCACTGACTGAATCCCATCTGAATGATGGCCTGCACAGACATAAGTAATTTATTTTTGAATGTCATAGCAGCAGAATGTAAGGTTTCTCAATGGAGGATGCACAGTCCAAATGAGAATTGTGAGTACTGAGAGCTGTAGAGCAGCTTTTTTCGGGGCAGTTTCAGGTTTGTTTTCTCAGGATTATTCAGATACGAACAAAACTGTAAGATAGCTCACTTCCTTCCAAGTTTTCAGTGTATGAAGAGAATTAATGATGTAAGGCTTCAAAGGTCCAAAAATATCTTGGTGATAACTGATAACTAATAACTCATTCAAATATGGCATATAAGGGATGTACTTTAGTACTGAGATGAGAACAGTCTTTTTTGGTACTGATGTCCTTATTGAAAGTGCTAATCCTATTAGATTTGTCAAAGTCAGGTTACTTGCTTCTTTGGCAGCCAAGTGACTTTCAAGTTTAATAATGGTTGACAAGTTCAGTTGCAGATAGTAGAAGAGGAAAGACATAACTGAGCTCTGAAAGTGAATAAATGGCAGGCAGCAAGATAAGGTTGTAGTCAAAAACCAAGTTATCTCCATGACCCTTAATGCAAGATGAGGCAAGAAACTGGCAGCTGCAATGTTTCTGCTTATACAGTTTATTGGAGGAATCAGCACTTTAAGATGAAACATGAGAAAAATTTAAAATCTGAGAATATTATTGGCATACTGAGTTAAAAAGTTAAAGATTGTTTGCAGTGGAATGAAAGGCAGTGGTGACATGCTCTGGTAACAACTGACTAAACTGCAAGTACTACTCCTCTAAGGTATGATAGATAAGATGAGGGAAGTTGTCAGAACTTGCATATGCTAATTCTGTTGCAAGTTTTTTCAAGACGAAGTGTGAATAGGCTCCAGCTCTGTTTCATAAGTGGAGAAACACCATAATTAAGTGACGATCAAATAAAGTTAATGTGTGCTGTGCGCCACAGGTTGAAGTCATGAGGCAGTTGGTTGTTGGAGTAGATTTGGCAGACCTCGATACTCATTTGAACTCAGTGGCAAGAACGTGTTTGGCTGAGTGCTGTTGTGGGACTTAAAAGCCACTAGGGAAGGTACCAGACTGATCGAGGTTCCATGACTTGGCTGTATTTGTAACGAGGTTCAGTTGTTAATGCAAAGCATTACTAGATATATTTGGAAACAGTTAATCTATAGATTAGGAAACAAGTGAAAAATCACTTGAAAATGTTGGGGCTGAATAACATCGTACTTGTTATACCAAGAATTTGAGGAGACTGTAGAGAACAATTATTTGCTCTCAACATGTAAATCTGAGGCTCTCCAGTCTCTTCAGAAGACCGTGTCTAGTGGATTCAACAAGGATGGTTGCACCATATTTATCCTCCCATTTGATATCAACCTCAACCTTTCCTATGACTACCATGAAAACTATTTTAGTATAAAAATTACATAAATAAATTTAATTCTGCAATGCAGTACAAGCCATACCTCATCAACAATAGCAAATATTTCCTTTTCCCTGTTTTTTTATTTTTTTGGTCATCATTTTCTTTCTCGAAGTGGATTTGGAGAGGTTTCATGGATACATTTTTAGACCCTTTTGATCTTTTCAGACAAAGAAAGCAAATATTGCTCCCTCACGAGGTAGGCAAAGCTGACTGGGTTCAGGAAGCTACACTTGTTTGAAAGCAGTATAGGATGGCTGGCTTTTGCCACCCAGTGAGCAGCATACAAAGCCCGAGACCCAAACTGGCATTCCCAGCTCAACAATGTGTTGTGCTGACATTCATCTGCTGGGCGGCAGGTTTTGCATTGTCTTTATTGATGGGTGCAAATCCCCACTACAAACCAATGGGCTTTAGGCAAGGCCGGTACTGTGTGCTGCCTTGTTTCGGCTTCTGACTGCATCTCTGCTGTGTGAAGTAGAATATCATTGTATGTGTGTAAACTGCACTGTTTGAACAGCAAATGGGCTTGCAAAACTGCAAATGCCTTGTCACTGAGTGGCAGCATCAACTTACTAGAAACATCATGAGGTGTTACTTTAGAGGAGAAATACTAAGGGTTTGTGTCCTTTTTGTATTTGGTTTTGTTAGGGAAGCCTGTGAGAACCACAAGAAGATTCTGTTAACAGCATGGTACAGTTAGGAAAGAATTTGAACGTTTCCTGTAGAAATGTTTGAGCTTATATGTACGTGTCTGTATGGAAATATGCATGTTCATTTTTTCCTTCTGCACACAAACTTGAGAAGTCCCCTGTGCTGCATCATGACCTTCTGGCTGTTCTGCAGCTGCTGTATTGATTGAATAGTCATGACGTGGTTGGTTGTTTGAACAAATCAGTTTATCTACATGAAGACAATGTAAGCATTGAGTTTGGCAAATAGTTCAGACTAGAAGTACAAAGTATTCCTCCTCTTCTGTTACTATTAGACAACTCTTCCCTTTAAGAATAAATTATCAAATACTCCATACATAATTGTTATCTAAAGCAGTCCTTTGTCATTCCTGTTCCACTAGATTTTAAAAAGCTTGATACTAGCAGCTTAAAAAAATATTGCTAATTTCACGCATTTTAAATTTACTTAATAAGCTGACTTCTAATTTAGCTTATTCTTTCATCAACTCTTTATAAATGAAAGAAGATTCTGAATATTTTAAGTTAGCTGTGGCAAAGCATTCAATTAGAATTTAGTAAATAATTTTTCTTTCTCTTTTATCACTTGGTTTACTTTTTTGTTTTTGTTTTTTTTTTTAAATTTCACCTTGCTCCCCATTTGTATTAATTTCAGTTTTTGTCTTCATGGCTTACAGTTTTCTTACTTTCCTATCTCCTATATCTGCAAATTCAGGTAATGTTTTCCATGTTTGTACTCGTAATGTCCTCAGGTCAAAGAAAGATCTGAAACTCAAGCACTTTGCTGTGTTTGTTCTCAAAATTAAAGCAATAGACTTTTTCTTCAAATGAATATTTAGTCCACTTTAGAAATCAGGCACACAAATACTCTTAAGTCCACTAGCAACAGACCTTGCTAATTTTGTTTTGTTTAGGATGTAGCAGCAGTTACCTTCCCTTCCAAGTGGTGTTGACAGAAATATATCCAAAACCGGAATGACTTGCAGCATGGAAACTGCTGTGCTCTTACAGTGTGGGCACCAGTTTCCATTGTTCAGATGTGTAACTCTCAAATTACCGTTGACAAGTGTCTTCACCTGGCTTTTGATGTAATCCTCTGGGATTTTGCACAGCGTGTGTCATGTTTCCACAGTTTTGTGTTCTTGTTTTGGAGAAGCTTGCCATGGTGTTTCATCCTTTTAATTGAAGTAATTCCTTGCTTTATGGTAGGGAGTGTGTAACCTGAGGAAAGAGGAGGCTTTGGGAAGGCTCTTTGTTCTCTGGACCACAAGCTTTCTTTCTCTCCTTACTGATGTTACCTGCAGCCCACCTGGCCAGCAGAGTCACACCCACAACAGTAGTTTAGACATAGCAGCCTTGGGCAGTACCCTGCAGAAAGGTGCAGCTCTGCCTTGCTGGGATGCTTCCCTTAAATCACTGGAATTAGTCCTGTCCCTGAGGCTGCTTGCAGGCTGGATTACCTGGGAGAGAGGAGCCCGTGTAAATAGGCCTATTTCATCTTGAAATTTTGAATTTTCCTGATTTGAGCTGAGATTTGAGTTCCTTCTTTTTCGACTGAAGGAACAGTTTGTGTAACATTATTCGCCTGATTGGATCTGCTAATATTGCTTATAAATGGACAGGGAAGATGCCCAGGAAAGAGACTTGAATGAATGCAGAATTAGCTGACTATGGTGTTAGTGCAGCAATGTGAAATTCTGTACAAGACCTTGGTCTACTCTGCTGTTGCTAAGGTATATTTCATGTGAAAATCTTGGAAGAAAAATTGTGGCCTGTGATTCAAGGTTGTGATACTGAATTTTAGTAGTTACTTACACAGGCATGGTACACAAATATTTCACAAAACCAGTTTCGGAAGCAGGGAATGGGTTGCTATCTAAAGGTCATTAATTACTGTTTGCTGACAGTGTATTGGAAAACCTTATCTTCTTGAAAAAAGTAAATTGAATTTGCAGATACAATGTGAACACAATGTTTTTTTCAAGGCTTCATTTTTTATTTA